CCCACACACAAATTGCTGCTGATCTATACCTCCCTGAGCTGCAAGACTTCTGCACGCACACATACACACATGCTAATGCTGCACTATGTCCTCTCACCTTCCTAAAATACACACTTCTCCCATATCCCAGTGTGGCCCTGCACCAGCTTCAAACCCCACACTGAGCCTCAGTGCTGCACTGCATGCTCTTAGTCCTTTAGCTGCACTGTTTTCCCCAGTGCCTCCCAGCTTCCTTTCATCTCAGCTTGCAGGGAAACAGCAGTGCTGGGCCTAACATCGATGTGTTATCAGAAGGTAAAAGTTATGGACCAGGGGTACATTGCCTAAAACAAAGAGAATGAGACCGGCAGCGAGTTGTGGGGGGCAGAGGGATTGGATGGTGATGGCAGAGGAAGAGCACTGTGAGCTGTTGACCCCCCCTTCCCTGCTGGGTCTGTTCTGCAGAGCGGCAGCTGCTTGGCTCTGCTCACGTGGGGGAGCAGCAGCATTTTCTGCCTGTTCTGCCCGCACCTCCCGTTCAACTCTGCTCCTCACGCTCGCTCTCTCTTGTCTCTGAGCTGGGACAAGCCGGCCACATGCCATCAGCTAATGAAGCTGTCTGGGGGGACTGGTGCCAGCGGGAACAGGGCTTGGCTGGCATCCAGGCCGTGTCTGGAGCTTGGCTCCATGGAGAATGTTAGTAACGCACTCTCAGCAGGAGCTCTAGACTGTTCAGTAACACGCTCAAAGAAAATACCCCTGCTCTCCTGTGACTGGAAAACCCACCAGATAATCTCATCTCTCTCCCCTGCTTTCCCCAGAGAGTGCAAGAGCCTTCACCTCTGCATCTCCTTTTGTGGAACTGCTTCTGTGTCTTGCCCCTTTCCACGATCCCTTGTGGGTGTGAGAGCTTTCTTCTCTGCAGCACTTGCTCTCTGGTGCAGCCTTCCCCACATCTCTGTTTCAGATCCCAGCTCCATTCTTCCAAGCCCTATACCACTGAATCTCAGGCTCTTTTCACTTCTCATTTAGTATAATTGCCCAACAGTTACCTTGTACATTCTAAAGTGTTTTCCATACTGAAATGCTCCACAGCTGCAAATATCCAGCCCCACTAAAATGCAGCCACCTCTGGGTTGGGCAGATAATCTAGTGCCTGACAGAGGTGGGGGCAGAAAGGCGAAGGCCCCTGGGGCAGACTGCCTTCCTCACCTTATGTACACTGCCTTGTGACTTGTATGTCTGTGCAAAGCAGACACGACCTTGGTTCCCCACATCTCCTCTGAAAGGGCCACACACACAGAACAAAAGGTCTCTGCCCAGCAAGAATGAAGGGCCCTGCTGTGTTTTGAACTTGTGGTGGTTCCAGGGAGCCTACAGCTAACCCCTGCCTAGGCTATTTATGCCATTGGGCTGTGGAGTTTATGCCAGCCCACCCACTGCCTCATATAGTAATAAGCAACTCCAGCTTGGATGGCAGATGCTATACAGGACAGAGAGCTGTCTCATCAGGAGATGTCACTCCCTGCCTTGACTTGTCAAAGGCAGCAGGAGGGGAATGAAGAGCTAGGGGAGGGAGGAAAAATAAAACAGCCAAGGAAGAAAGGAAAGAAGAAAAGAAGGAAAAAAGAAGATGATGCATGTAGAAGAGAACATGGACAGAGGGAGGGTGAGAGGGCTTCTCTTCCCACTCACTGGCAGAGGGCCAGAGGAAATTCCTCTACAAAGGAAGTTATACAATGGTGTGAGCCACAAACTACAATGACTGGAAACCTCCCATTGAGATCACAGATCCTGGAGGATGGCTTTGGAGCTAAAAACAGTCAGTGGGAGAGACTTGGAGACTTCCCAGGAACACGGGAACATGCTCCCCAGCAAAGGCCCAGAGCTGCAGCTTGCATATCTCAGGCTCCATCACCCTCAGCAGAAGTTTGCATCGAAGGCAGCGATGTGCCTATTAACATGATAGGGTGGGAACATTGCTGACGGTAATTAACCCTGGCCACTGTAGGAACAGCTGAGCAGAGAGCCACCACCCCGCTGCTACTGCTGCACCATCTAGAGCAGTGCCCAGCTGAAATGAAGTACACAGGTCACAGGAAGCTTTAAATCTATTTTTCAAACACCCTTCCACACCCACATCATCCTCTCACAAGTGCTGCCAGGACTGCCACAGCTACGGGCACATTCTGGCTTGTTATGTTAGAGCCTACCCCCACTCCAGCCTGGCATGAGTGCCCTGGTTTATTATGGTGGGGGGCGGCTGGAGGAGAGCTTGTGAGAACTAAGCTACTGACATGTTGGGGGGGCAAGATGAAATAATTGTTCCTAAAAAATAAACCACTTTTCCTCCTTCGAGTCTTTCCTCGGCCCAATCTGCAGGACAGAGCAGATGGACTATGGCAGGGGTGGGGAGGAGGTCAACATTTAGGTCAGGCATGCCACAAATGAAGTCCCGTGTCCTCCTCTGAATGCCACTCTCATTCCCTTCCCCTGCCTGAGCTGCTGTTCTGGTGTCTGCTCCCTGCCTGATGCACTGCTGTGCTATCTGCCCTCACCCCCAACCAATCTACTGTGTGGCACACAGAATCTGCCTGTGACACTTGTGGCATGTTTGCTGCAGGTTGCCCACCCCTGGACTAGAGGATGGAAAATGGGCAAGAGGCTGGTCAAAAGGGGCCTGCAGTGGGTGGGGTGAGGTGCAGCAGAGGGGCACATGGCAAAAGGGTTGTGTTGGGTGATCCTGGGGCTGGGCCATGGCGAAAGGGGCAGAGGTGGAGGATGTCTATGGGAAGAGGGCCAAGGTCGGGTGGTGCTGGGGGCGCTGAGGGCAGGGGTGGAGAGTGGGTGCACTGAGGCTCTGGAGGGGGCAAGTCCCTGGGGCACGGCTACATGGAGGCTGCAGGCCTGGCTCTCGCCAGCAGGTGGCGCTGCAGGATCACTAATGGCGGGCCCCGGGGTGGGGGTGGGGCTTGCGGAGCCTGCCAGGGAAGGGGCGTGGCTACGCCCGGCAGCCCGGGGCTAAGGGGCGGGGTGATGAAACGGAGCGACAAACCCAGGGCGAGGCGTTAGGGACCGTCGCAAAAGTGCGTCTGCTCCCCGAGGAAGAAAAATCCAGGAGTGGGTAAAAAGGGTACCCTCTTAATCTGGGGGTGGGGGCAGTTGGGAGAGACTTCAACTCCAACCTGATAATCCCCCAGTCCTAGGCTGTTTGCCTCACTCCCGCTTCACACCCAATCAGGGTTTAAATTACATTTTGACTCATTGTGGGGGTCTGCAAAAAAAATTAAACTGGTTCATTGGAAGGAGCAATCCGATCTGAGCCCCCGCAGGTTATGATTTTCAAATATTGCAGAGGGGCTGTCATCTTGTATGTAGGGGCTTGCTCCCCACCCCCCATTTCACGCCCTGCACCCAATAGGTATTATTATTAATCAGGTTTCTGGTGGCAGTGCCTGAGGGCCAGGGTGCTGCTGTGCTAGGTAGTGTTGCACACGGGCGAGTAGCAGGTGAGCCCTGCCCCAAAGAGTCTGCAGTTTGCCTGGACAAGGCAGGCATAGGGAGGGAGCGGGACAAGGGAACGCACCAGCAATGCAGACAAAGCGCTGGCAGCCCAGGACATGGGAAAGCCACAATCTTACCTAGTCTTGATCATGGGTTGAGTTTGGAAGGAGCTGAATAGAAAGTAAAAGGAAGGTGAAAAGGACTGGGCAAAGGGAGATGATGCCAGGGCAGGTGGGAATGGTGACAAGACAGTGAGATATGGGGGGAGTAGAATGAACAGTTAATTAGCATAAGTTGGAGAAACCAGTTAACCCAGTAAAGTTCCTCTGCTGGTTCCTCCTTTTTAGTGGAGTGTCATTCCCTGCACAGCATTGGGCCCAGGACATGCCACCCTTTGCATTTGTTCCACTGATACTGTAAATCCCTTCTCCACCTTATATAGGTCCCTTTTGGTCATTAATCCTGCCCTGTCCATCTGGCAATGATGTATAAACTTTTCCAGTCGTGTCGTCCCGTGTCGTCCCCTCCCCCCCGCCCCGGTCCAGATCAAAAATATTGCTTGTTCATTTAAAGGCAGGAAGCAGCCTCATGGACTTATGTTTTGACCCAGGTTATCAGACACATTTGCAGTGGCTCATAGTGAAAAATCCTCTGTGGTTCCCTATTCTCTGTTCCTCTGGACTGCTGGGTGTTAGCCAACCAACCTTAGGCCTTTGGTTTCAGGGACCCTTAGCACACAGTGCAGAGAGGACACACACAGTTGTGCAGGCTAAAGATATGTGGGGCAGTTTTCATGTATACCAGGCCGTGAAACAACCCTGCTGTCCCTAAGTAAAATAAATATTTAGGGACCCCTCAAAGGCCCTCAATCCCACATTATGAATCAGCAGGGAGCAGAATTTCATGGTAAAAATAACAAATTTGGTCTTTACAGCCCATTGCGGGAGAGACGCTGCCTCTGAAAGAAAAACATTTAACAAAAATATACATGTCCCAGGCTGACAGGGGGCCTGTGTCCAGAGTGAATTTTACAGATGAGTTATAAACCCCTCAAAAACAGGCCTTGTAATGGAAAAAGTGACATAGCCTTAATTCTGTGTAGGGCAGTAAGAGGAACATGCCTGCATCTCCATACATTACAGGCAGGAAAAACAGAAAGGGGAAAAATGACCCTTGGGATATAAAATTTTATTTGTTGACCATAAAAGAAGCTGGACATGCACAGCTTACAGAAAGCAACTGAAACATACCAAACTCTTGATAAATTAAGTAACACACAACTGACTAGATAAAAGGATGATAGAAAATAAAGGAGATCCCAGATTTTAAAAGAAAAAAACAGTTACAAAATATAGAAATATTTATAAGGCCCCTTTTAAAAAAATTTGCAATGTGAAAATGGGTTCACTTCTAAATCCAGGCCTCTGATGTGGTGTGGCCAACCCCAACTTTGCAGCCTGGAGAAGAAGCTGGGAAGCAAGGCAAAATGAGAGAGAAACAACTCAAAACCAATCAGATCTCCTTCATTAGAATTTAATTTTTTTTTCGATATTTAGAATCTGGGGCGCTGACAAAGGAAAGGTAGTGATTTGTTTTGAGGAAAGGATTCTTAACACAGCAAGGACCTTTAATAATATATGGGACGACAACCAGGGTTAGCAAGCTTGAGTTTACATAATTAATTGCAGCCTGGGCTGCATTATTTTCCACTGTATGATTGATATGCTTTGATATTCCAAATATCAGCCTAATGGGAAAACAGTCATCCATGCCCATTCATCCCTATTTTGTTCCTTTCAAGGCATTTGAGTGGGATGGATGCTGACCTCCACATAGGGTGAATGTCACCTACTATAGTCAAAGCTCTGGCTCTTGGCTTATTTTGGAAGCAGCCAATATAATTCTAAGGAGCCCATGTCCCATTCATTTTAGTGAGAAATGGGCAAGCAAATCCCTTACACAGTTTTGGAAGTCTCGGCCTATGTTTAAGGGGCCCAGCCTCTCAATGAATGCTCAGGCTTTGGTCTGTACCATGAATGGGAGTTATTGGTGCGGAAAAGAAAGGGGACAGTTCTTTAGTCCACAATACTGACAAAAGGGAAGATTCAAAACCAGTCTACTCTACTTCAGCTGCTACCTGACTCTTCCAAGAAAGCCTTCAGGTGTTGAAAATACCAGTAATCAATCATCTTATTCATTCCTTAAATAATTACTGGCTGCAATACCCAGCAATTATACAGTTCCTTAAGATTCTCAGGCCAGATTCTACTCTCAGTCATACCAAAGTAAATCTGAAACTTCTGCACTGAAGTCACTCCAGATTTGCGCTGGTACAGGAGTAGAATCTGGCCCATTTATTGGTTAATTTTCCCAAACTCTCCTCCCCTGTTAGCTTGCAAATTTCATGTCACTGAGACTGGGGTGAAGCCAGCTGGGTGGACGTGTCCATGGAAGCTTAGAGTTCTCTTGGGCGGCACCGCTGATGTTGGCCATCTTGCATCCTACCCCAAATCTTCTGTCAGACCTATTGTGCCAATTAGAAAATGGCTAATCAAATCAGCCGAGGAATCATTTGTAGCCGTAGTTTAGACCCATCCAATCGGAAATATCCAGGCGCTGTCCTCTGGGTCTTTCACTTTAATAAGGACCATTTAATTTGCTCTTTGGCAGATTGCAGAACCTATTAAGGGGGTGGAGGAGGGTAAGAAGAAGAAAAACAGAGAGACATTAAGCCCTGCAGCCTCAGGGATTCTGCAAACGGATTACAACTCCATATGAACTCAGCAGGTCTCCTTCACTGGCACCAGGAGACCCATTTAATGCCAACATAAACCTGCCTGGCTCTAAGAGGGAGATTTCTGATGTGCCTCAGTCAGACAATTTGGGTGGTTGAATCCTTCTTTGCTCCAAACAGCCACTAGGTGGTAGATATGCTTCTTCATAGCAGCAGAACTGACATCTGAGGAGCAGCATGGGAACTATTTTGTACCCCCTCCCGAAGTAGTGAGCTACACTTTAGGCATGACCTATGCACACCCACTATGCTGAATTCTGGACACTAAGCCCTGATCAGCAGATGGGAGCCCATCATCAGAAACTGCCAGGCCTAGAGATGGAGTCTGCAAAGAACACTTGAGCCAAACACCTTCAGATCAGACAGGACTTCCCATCAGTATGTGAATGTTGCAGATCAGGCCAGCCTGCAGCTCTTGCTTGGAACTGATGGTTAACGCTCATCCAGCACAAACAATCCCTGACCTACTCTAGACTGTTTATAATTACTCTATAGTTTTGTCTCTGTGAGGGATAAAGACGGTGCTGTTGGGAACTGGCTTTTGATCCATACCACAGACCTAGCAGAGGTGAAACTGGCTATTACTGTACCCTGGATGGTGGAGGTGCGTGGTGCAGAAGCAATGGCCAGAGGTTCACTGCTGCTGGGGGAGATGTTACCACCTTTTTTTTGCCACCAACACGTGCATCAACCATCTACAAACTAGTGGAGCAGGAGTTGCTACAGGGAAGATGTAGGGTGCAATAGGGGGGAGAAACAGGGGCATCAGGATGAGGTCCGTCCCCCACCCCAGCCTCTGCCTACTAAGATATTGCCCAGGGCTTTCACCCCACTTGCCCACCCATTGTTACGCTACTGCTGATCAGTCACTGAAAGCCACAATCACCCAGCTTCTACCCTGGATACACACAGGCCAACAGTATCCAAAATACTATGCATACCCACAGCAGCCTTCTAGCAGCCATGAAAAAGACCTCCAGACTGATGGGCCATTATAACCAGCTTTCTACCAGACAATTATCGAGAGCTCTCTAGGTGCTATTTAAAGTATTTTTAACCTACGTTTTCCCACAATCTAAAATCTACTTCCCAGTTGTGACCACATGCTCTGCTGTGCAAACATCTCTGGGTAAAAATACATTACCCACATGCTATGGGATACTGTGCGAGGGTTAGTATGGAAGCGACAGGTGATCTCACTAGGGATAACATTATGTCAGCCATGGACAGAGAGTATAGAACAAAGGTTCCCAAAGTACAGCCCATGGGCCACTCACAGCCCACATAGCATTTATACGTGGCTCACAAAGGGACTTTTAAATGGTGACCATCAGTATTGCAGTCTTTTATTGAACATGGAGCTAGTGGACTGCACTCCCTGACACAATGTTGCACCCATTAAATGGCTTTCCATGAACAAAACGTTGTGAACCCCTGGTAGAAGGTGGCTGTACAGACAGGCTTCACCATACATATGGTTCAGAGACTGGGGTAGGGAGTCCTCCCAAGCTGGCTTTTAGGAGGCAAGGGAAGAAATAAGTTAAGTAGGTTTCTGCTGGTCCTCTGTAGGCAGGTAGCAGAGGCCTTGGCAGAGGTGGGCCTAGGCTGCAGGGGTCACTTACTCTGCCCAGTACGAGGTGGTGGTTAGTGCTGAGTTAGACATAGACTCAGCCCCGCGGCTCATGCAGGCAGGATTAGTGTGGACAGAAGCACCTGCAAGGAGAGAGCGCGTGAGGGATAGAACACAGAACAGTGTGTGTCCTGGAAGGAAGGGACAGGCTCAACTTGAAGACCCTTCCCCACTCTCTGCTGCAAGCAAGGTGGCAAGCCTTCCCCAAGTGACACCCTACCCCGAACCATCCTCCCCCTCACCATGTCCTGCCCTGCCACTTGAGGGACCAGGAGGAGCAGGGAAGATAGGTCTGGCATCGCAAACCTGCTGGGTTTGCCAGGGGTGCTCAAGCACATAGCTGAATTGCTAGACCCAGCAAAGGCAAAGCCTAATGCAAGGGCATGGCCTGATGTGTTTCTAATTCAGTATCATACTGACTTCCTGAGCACTGCCTAGTGGTGAAAACATGGAAATGGGTGTCAGAACTCCTGGGTTATCATCACTTGGCTCTGGAAGGGGAATATGGTCTGATGCTTAAGCAGGATGACTGGATGTCAGGACTCCTGGGTTCTACCTAAAGCTTCAGATGCAGGTGGAGGTATAATAACTGAAACAGGGAAATAGGGCATTAGGTCTCCTGGATTTCAGTCTGGGCTCTGGGTGGGGAGTGGGCCTCAGTAGTTAGAGCAAGGACATTATGACTCGGGATTCCTGGGTTCTATTTGGGAAAGAGAGATGTGTGGGTCATTGGTCAAGATTACAATTAAGGGCTCCTGGGTTCTTCTCCTGCCTCCAACTCGCTGTGTGAACTTGGGCAATCCACTTCACCCCCCTATGCCTCAATGTTTTTAAATCCAGATAAGGACAGGCAGTTTGGGAGGGAGGTGGAGTGGGATCCCCTTGTGGCTGCTTCAGAGGATGTTCACCAGGTGCAATAGGTGCGAAGTGGCCCAATACCACCAGTGCTCTCAGTAACAGGAGGGGCTCCAGCTACTATGGAACCTTCTCACAAACCCCTCCATGCAACCTCAGCCCCAAGAGGCTCCCTGCCATGGTTCTGTGTAACCTCCCCAGTCTGGGAGCTCTGTAGGACCTGGGACTATATGACACCTTGAGTGACTTACCTACCCGATTGCTCTTACATTAAGCAGCCTTGCCTGATGCTCACAGTGGTTAATATAGAGTGGGGCTAGACAAAAATCCCTCAAAACTACAGGATTGTTTTCCCCTGCCTGGCAAGTAAGCGGCAGGTCCACTTCATGCCATCTCCATCTCCTCAATCCCATGCCAGCACCCAGAAAGGAAATGGACGGGGTCTTGAGACCCTTACCTGGGCAACACTTTGCTCAGAGAGAGGGCTGTCATCCACCTAAAAGAAGGAAAAGGACACGGCGGTTTATGGGAAGTGAAGATGCCTGGAGCAGTGGGAACAGGTATGGGACAGGGGAAGAAAAAGTGACCACTTGTAAGCACTGAAGACCCCATAGCATTTAGAGGGCTTAACTCCAGCACTCTCACCATGCTCCTATTCAAGCAATTATACCCTGCCCATCCAAATCCAGTCTGCAGCTGCATCTGAATGCAAAAACTGCACTTCCTGCTATACTGTGTTGCTGTAGGGCTGTTAAACTAGCTGCCACATTCCTCCTCATTGTTTCAGCAATGGATGTAGTGCATCTGACAGAACCCTTCCCTGATGAGGGGGACTTTTAATTAGATGAATTTAAAATTCATGAGATTCTTTAAGATCCTCAGATAAAAATGCACAGCACTATGCTGACAATTTTCGTTGCCTATGGAGTTTTGAAGTTCTGGGTGTCATTTGGGAGTCCACTGTTGCTTCTTATCTGTGGGCTGCTTGTCATTTATTGCAAGCTGCTCTGGGTCTTTCTGGATAGCGTGGGATATCAATCTAGAAAAATAATAATAATTATTATTATTATTATTATACCCTCTCTCACAAGCACACAGTGCAAGAGTCCCAGTGATAAGAGCACTCTCAGCTCTACAAAAATACCAAGCAAGTCACTC